TTAAGGTCATTAATGTCTACCAAACCAGTATTGCAGAAAATTCCTAGGGGTAAACTAGTGTATGAGAAAGTCTCATCAAGAACACAGGAAAGAGCACATTCCGTGAGAGGAAGAGATGAAAAGAGAAGACCAAGAAGGAATCCGTTATGTCCATCACAGCCAATCCGGACACTGGGGGAAGAAGAGAGGACTAATAAGCCGACCAATCACCACATCCACAACAAAATAATCAAGGCAAATAGCAAATCATTTGGAACAATAATGTTAAATCCAAATACCCTCGACTCACCAATTAGAAGTCACAGGTTAACTGACTGGGTGAAAAATAATATCCAGCTATCTGATTTCTCCAAGACATATCTGAGAAGCGAACTATCCAAAAGTTGAGTAAAAAGCCAGATATCAGCATACCAAGTATGTATAAATGTGGCATAGCAATTCTCCTGTCTGGTAGAGAGGATTTCAAGAAAAAACTACTCAGAACAGATAAAGAGCCCCTACTTACTAATAAAGGAAACAATTCATCAAGAGGACATAATAAAACAAATACTAAAAGACAGAAAATGTCATATAGGTTCTTATACAATAATAGTCAAAGACTTCAATGCATCATTCTGATTTTCAGTGTGGCCCCCAAAATCAGAACCCATAAAGACATTTCAGAGCAAAGGAATTTTGCAAGTCTACCACTCTAGAGTCAAATTCACTGCTGGAAGGTGCATGTGGCATCCAGTTCTATCCTCCCACTGTCCTTACAACAACCAGAGGCAAGAATTCTCCAAAACCACTATTTGGAAAATCCTAAGAGTTTTTTAAGGACTTGCTAACTGAGCTTGGGATGCTGGTTTACTTACAGAAGAGTGGGTGCTGCCCCCCATCCTCGGTTGTGCTGGAACATCCACACCCAAACATAAATCCTGTGGCTTCACTACAGCCACACAAAATGGCAAGAGACCTACCACCTGGCTTTCTTGGCTTATATATCCTTAGCCCCTCCCCCTCATGATTGAGGGGGAGAGGTAACGGGCTCCCCCCCACCCCCGCTTGATTCCTTCCTAAGAGCATGGGAAGAAGGTGGGACTATAGCTTGCCATCATAGTGTTCAGAGGAACTTCCAGGTAACACACTCTTGGTTTGGCAGGAGTGCTGTGTTGAACAAAACAACACAAACTTGTTAAAGCATTCATGTTTTCTGCTCTGAAACACAAATGCCTGACATCTCCTTATAAACGATAGAAATTAATGAGGAAAATAATTTTTAAATACAATTTTTATAACTTCTAATGAGCGTGAAATTTGTTTTTATTTGTAATTGTAAAAAAAAAAAAAACTCTATCTGGACACAGTGGCATATATATGCCTATGGGTTTTTTTTTTGGAATCACAAAGTCACAGTATCTTCACTAGACAGTGTTGCACCTGAACTCAGTGATGTTTCTTTTTAAGGTAATGTTGATTCACCCAAAGCACAAGGGAAACATAACAGTAAAACCAAAGCCCACAAAGCCTACAGCAGAGAACTTCCCAGGGTCCACGTCACCCCTGGTCCTACCACAATCCTTGCGAATGAAGTTGCTGTGTAAATGCATCTTTCTCTGGTCAGCTCAAGGCTGGGTTTTGTTTCCTGGTCCATGATGCATCCCCAACCTGCTTTATTACATGCTTTGTGGCCTCACTCTGGGACATGCAAGTTTTTTCACTCCTTGGCTCTTTTGCCCAAACCTCATGGGCGTTTCTGGTTCCTGTAGCCACACACGCAGCTGCTGGGCAGTCCTTTTCAGGCCTCCTGTGCATCCAGCACGACTCTCTGGGGTAGGCCGAGGATTCATTTGCAAGATACAAGCACATCTTTCCAGTGGTTCTTCTTTAGTGCTGTCCTTCACCAACCCGAAGAGCAGCATCTCAGCACACCCTCCCAGCCTGTGACAGGAGCCCTGTGCACTGTCCCATTCAACTGGTTGCCATGAAGGTGGACATTCTGACCTACTTACCAGACATTCTCAGTTCCTCCCTGTCCTGCGTCATCTAGGTTTTTCATAATGACTGATACCCTGTTTATCTTCTCTGTACCAAATCATCATTCGTAAATGTAGCGAACTCCCTCCCTCTCACCATCCCCACCACCACCACAGAGCTAGAGACGGAATCTAGAGTCTCACACGTGCTAGATAAGTGTTCTACTACTGAGCTATATCCCTGGATTTTTGTTTTAAGACAGGGTCTCACTATGTAGCCCTAGCTGGTCTGGAACTCATCATGTAGACCAGGCTGGCTTCAAATTGAGATTCACCTGCCTCTGCCTCCTGAGCACTGGGATCAAAAGGCGTGCACCGCCATGCCCAACACCCTTATGATGTCTTTTAATAAACAGAAGTTTCTAGCTTTCATAGAACCGAAGTTAGCAAACTTCCCTTCAAAGTCCGCACATTTTTATCTCAGGAAACTCCCCTGGTAACCCCACTACCTCCAGCAAGGGTGTGCTTGCCCTTGCATCTCTGTGGGAACCCAAGGGACAGTCTGCATGACCTCACTGGTCCAAGAACAGGGCCCCACATGCTGGCCTCAAATGTTCCTTGAGCCTAGGGTGGTCAGAGCCTTAGCCCCTCATGTCAGGCATTAAGGCTGCTGGTGACCTTAAGACCAGGTTATCCGGAGGAGATAGGGAACCATGTGACCACACTTCCTCAAAACCACGGGGGGCACAAAGTGTGCCAGGTAGCCCGTTACGCTGCTCTGAGATGGGGGCTGCAGGTGAACATTTTGGAGCGACATAGGTCATTAACCTGTAAGCTTACCTAGGAGGTCGGCAGGGCCCCCGAGGGTTGTGGCCATTGATACTTGGTCTTATTTCTAGGACACAGAACAGTAAGCTGATAAATGTGGGCATTTTAAAACATTGTGTGTGGAACAACAGGCACTGGTACCAGGTCCCTCCTGCATGACCATTCCTCATCACCGCCTGTGCATGGCTGGGTCCCATAGGTGAGCAGCCCCTGGAGTGCCACACACAGACACATACGCACGTACATGACATCTGGAACTGCATTGACTCTGCAGAGCAAATGAAATGAAGTGACAGCATTAAACAATGGGTCGGCATTTGGGTCTTTTAAGGTCAATTTCCAGAGGGCTACCAGAAGTCCCATGTCAGCGCAGTTTTCAGAGGCAAGGAGATTAAGTAGACTTGCTCATAGTCTCAGTCACAGTCACGAGGAGCTGAAGTCAGCTGGAGAGATGGCCCCAGAGGGTCTTCAGGAGTCTGGTCCCTGGACCAGAGCTGGAACCCACATGAAGAAGGGGAGGGTCAGCTGTCAGGAGGAGAGGCTGCAGGCCAGGAGGTACAACAGCCCAGGGGCAGATGCAAGGCTTCTGTGACTCTTGGGGCTATGTCCATGAAAGTCAGGGAGGACCTGTTAAGACAGTGCTTGGTCCAGAGCAGAGCAGCATGGTGCCAGCCTCAGGGATAGAGGCCACCGGCACAAGAGCTGTCACCTCAGACATAGGCTGTCACAGCAGCACACACCACCGCCAGGCACCCAGAAAACCCCAAAGGAGAATGTTCTGGTAGAGGATGCAAGGTGCCCAGAGTCTGGAAGTAGTCTCAGGCCTGGACTAGCAGGAGGCTGGAGGCTGCCCAATGGGTTCTTACCACCTTTCCAGTGTAAGACCAGTGTTTGGAGTTAGGGATAGGAAGGAAGGCAGGGTTGGAGACCATAGGGCCTGCCTGTGCCCACTGACTAGAAGACAGGGATGGGAAAGCTCCATCCCACCAGGCCATGAGCACATCCTGGACACAGGCAGCTTTGTGAGGACTAAGCTCGCCCAGCAGCCTCCAGAACAAAGGCCCTCAGTCTGCATTGCAGCATCCCCTCCCCCTCTCTCCCAGGCAGAGCCCCCAAGACTCCCATCTGGCCCACCACCACACACACATCTACCACCCGAATGGGAGGGGAGCTCTGCTGCTCTGCCAGGAGGAGGCACATAGCCAGGGTTCAGGGAAAAGGTGCAGGAAGCTGGTCAGGGCCATTCCACTCAGGAGAGGCCTGGGTTTCCCTGCCACCTGCCTCCCCAGGTCCCAATATATTCTGTGCTGTGGGACACGTGGGATTCCAGCATAGTGCCAACAATGCACCCTGTGCGGGTGGCCCAGAAAGAGGGAGTTGAAAGGGCTTTGGCATATAGGGTTTGATTTGGTTTGGTTTGTTGAGTCAGGATCTCCCTGTAGCCCCAGCTGGCCTAGAACTTACTATGTAGACCAGGCTGGCCTTGATCCCACAGAGATCCACCTGCCTCTGCCTCCTGAGTGCTGGGATCACAGGTGTGTGTCACCATGCCCAGCAATGTAAAGCTTTGGAAAAGGGTAAGAGGGCAGCAGGCTGGTGTCCCAGGGAGGGAGGGCTCTATCATGTATTTCTAGGTCCCCTCCAGATACTTCTCAGGAAGATCAGCCCATAGCCACAACACAACTGCAGGCTGAAGGATGCTGGCCCTAGAGGGAACACATGGCCTGGACCCCCCGAGAGGGCCTGGACCTCTGCACCCATGAGGAGCCACTCAGCTCCTCTGAGACCCAGAAGACCTCTACACAAGGTGGGCACATACCCTAAGGCTTTCAGTGTCTGGGGGCCAGGATCCAAATCAGGTCAGGTAGGGTACCAGACAACCTGGCCAGCTCCTGCTGACACTGACTCTGTAGTTGGTGCAGCATCCTCTTCAGACAGGCCTCCTGGGCACTCAGCATCCTGATCACCTCAGCTGCCCGTAGGCCTTGAGGACCCGGTGCCCCCTCCTTACTTCTCACCAGTCGGTGGGGCCTGTGAAGTTGGTCTGAGCGACTGGATTGTTCCCAGGACCCCTGCAGGGCCGCCAGCTCCCGTTCCACAGACTCCTGCAAGGCTTTCCTTGTGGTACCCCACTCAGGCCCCCGACCTAGGCCTCTAACCTGAGCCTCCCATGCAGCCCGCCTGGACTCAGCCACCTCCTGAAGCTCCTCCTGCAGGGCCTGCAGCTCCTGCTCTATCAGCTCCAACTCACCAAGCCCATGCTCAGAGATCATGGGCAAGACTGTGGGCTGTGAGGCCACAGAAGGACCTTCGACAGGACAGGCATCTAGAACTGTGTCCATCCACTGCCAGAAGACCAGCTCACAGCACCGCCACTCCAGAGCTGCCTCCAGGCGCGTGTTCTCACACTCCAGTGCCTGCAGAAGCTGCTGACTGCTCTCTGGGTCCCTGAGCATCTCTGTTTCAGTGACAGATAGATGGCCAAGGTTCTGGTGGCTGTGGCATCCACTGGTATACAGATGGATCTTGCCGAGGAGGGTACACTGCTCCTGCTGACTGAAGATCGGGTGCCGCCACCGGAACCTCAGCTTTCCCATCAGCCACTGCACTCTCCGGAGGTCCATAGGGCCCTCTGTTTCCACATGGAGTACAGGAGGGCCAAGGCTGCCCAGGGCCTCATGCTCAAACTGGGGCAGTTGATCACCCAACTGCAAACGGGTCTTATCCAGCAGCTTCTCAAGAAGAGGTCCTCGGGCCAGGAGCCAGGACAGGGCCAACAGCAGTTCCCGGCTGCCCTCAGGAAATTGGGCAAGCACAGGCCTGGGGTAGCCCAGGGAATGGAGTGCTGACTTCACCACTCGGGCTTGAGCCTCTGGGGCCAGAGGGAACCAAGTGCTGTCTGCAGCAGGCGGCGAGAGCACGCGGAAGAGGAGCTGCCAGAGCACCGGGGCCGCCTCCGGACGGTCGAACTTAGCGCGGCGGAAGATTTCGGGGCTGGGCCCGGCGGGCAGCGACCGACTCAGTGTGGCGATGGCCTGGGGCAGGGCCCCGGTCGCGCGGCACCGCCGCCTCCCCATGCAGCCCGCCTAGGCCAGCCTCCTATGCCTATGGTTTTAAGTGACTTGAGAATCTGAGGTGGAGGGCTACCAGCCTGAAAACAGCCAGCATAACTACATTTGACTAAAATATATATATTCAAGGGCTGGAGAGATTGCTCAGTGGTTAAGAGCACTGGCTGCTCTTGCAGAAGACGCAGGTTTGATTCCCAGCAGCCACATGGTGGCTAACAACCCTCTGTTCCTCTAGTTCCAGGGGATCCAACACCTTCTTCTGACCTCTGGAGGAATCATATGACACAGGTGCACTTACACACATGGAGGCAATACATTCATACACATAAACTAAAAATAATAAAATATTTTTAATAATCAGTCTTAAGAAAGTGGAAAACCGTATTTGCAATGCATATTTCTTTGCTTTCTTTTAGGGGATTAGTGTCCTGTCATATTGCCTATTCTGACTTAAAACTAATTTTTATTCTTTGAGGATTTCACACATTCATACAATTAAATATGATCCTGTGTACACTCATTTCCCCCTCAACTCCATCTGAATGCTCTCCAACACCTCTCCCCCAACTTCATGTCTTTTTGTTGTTGTTTTGATAACCTACTAAGTCTATTCAGTGCTGCCCATATGTGTATGGGTGTGGGGTGATGTGCTGAAGCAGGAAATGTACCAGTGGCCACATCATCAAAGAAGAATGTTTAGCCCTAACTCAGTACTAATCAACTGACAACAGCTCCACAGTAAGGGGTGAGGCCTGGAGAGCATCTCTCCCTTTGATGATGTATTTGTCTTGCTTATTCTCCTGCAGGTCTCTTGTGATAACCACAGCTGCTCTGAGTTCAGGAGTGCACTATCTTGTCCTGCCCAGATGACAGCATTTCCCAGCACCTGCCCCATCCTCAGGCCCTGCATTCACTCCACCCCCTGTTCTCTGATGTTCCCTAAGCTTTGGCAGGGGGTGGGATGATAAAGATATCCCATTTATGGCTGACCAATTGAGTCTTATTCTCAGCTGTTTGACCAGTTGTGTGTAACAGCTGATTCTTCGGTCTAGCTCCCCAATTCACATTCTGTCCAGGCAGCACTGCAACAGTCAAGTTCAGTTTTGCCTCATTTCAGAACCAGTTCTTACTGATTTTGTTTTTATGTGGGTGCTTGTGGCCTGCACCCAGATTACAACTTAAATTCCTCCCCCGAGATGAATCAAGATGAAAAGTTGAACTAGTAAAGTGATAAAAATACTGTACCACATACTGGCTGGCCTACATTCTGGCACCTTTCTGGGGCTAATTAGTGGCCTGGTCTTACAGTAAGGCATGTGACTGAGATGCACCCACCTTTACAGAATACCAAAGCTGGAAGGTGAACGGAATAAACTATTCTCAAATATTTTTATTTTATATGTATGAGTGTATTGCTTGCTTGTATGTGAGTGCACCCATATCATGCAATGACCACGGAGGTCAGAAGAGGGAATCCAGTTCCCCTGGAACTATAGTTGCAAATGGTTGTTAGCCGCCATGTGGATGCTGGGAATCAAACCTGGGTCCTCTGCAAGAGCAAGCAGTGCTTTTGACTGCTGAGCCATCTCTCTGGCCCCAAACTCAACTTTTCTAAAAGGCTGGTTCTCCCCGGTGAGGTCTTTCTCTCCTTCTTTTTCTTGTTTTATGGCATGTGTAGTTGAGAATATTAGTCCTCTTTGATGTTTTCCTTTGTCTTCATCCTTGTGTCAGTTAGCTAGCTGAACATGCAACATGTTCAAAACATGGAGGGGGACAGGGCATTATGCGTGTTGGTTAGTCTTGCTGGTTCCCTTGTGTCTGTTCCTGTTCCCTTTCTACCACACACCGGCATGGCTCATCACCCCCTAAGTGCCTCCTTGCCTGGCCTCTCCCCTGAGTCTTACAGAGCATATGTAATATTGAGGGTTGGATCGCCATTCAGTGTTCATTTCCCAGCATCTTTTCTCAGTTAAAAAAAAAAAATCCCTTTGTATCAAACTGTGTGTTTTGACAACGAAGTGGAGATCTTTTTTAAACGTTGGAACCTCATTTAATTTTATGTCTTATAGAGTTTATAATGAGTAAAAGATTACATAAGTGTAATAATTCATCCGTAAACCTAGAAATGTACAGCCAATTTTGAAAGAGATGTAACCTAGCTCAGAAAAATGTTATTGAATAGGTTAATGCTGTTGTAATGAAATGCTTCTTTTAATTAAAAAAAAAATCCCCTCCAGCAGGCACAGTGGCACGCACCTTTAATCCCAGCACTTGGGAGGCAGAGGCAGGCAGATCTCTGTGAGTTCAAGGCCAGTCTGGTCTACACAGTGAGTTCCAGGACAGCTGGGGCTATAGGGAAAGCTTGACTTAAAAAAACAAACAAACACCAGGGGTTGGAGAGATAGCTCAGTGGCTCTTACAGAGGACCCGGGTTCAATTCTCATCAATCACATGGCATCTAACAACCACCTAAAACTACAGTTTCAGGGGATCTGTTGCCATCTTCTGACCTCTGCAGGTTTTGAATGACACAGGTGCACACACGTGCAGACAATGCACTCGTACACTGAAAATAAAATATTTTTTTAAAACCTAAGCTGCTCTCCTGCATCCTGGATAACATTCAGTCTCCCCAGCCTGGCATCAAAGTCCTCCTACTCAGCCCTTTCTCAGTCCCTCCATCCCTTACCAATGTCTCTCTCAGGTCTCTCCACATACAAACTAGTCTAACAAAATATAGTTTAATCGATTGAATTTCCGTTTTTCTCCAAGACGACTTGTCTTTGAATTTGCTTCTGTTTTTCCCTCTCCCTTGAGAGCCTGGCATCTTGCTAGCTCACAGGGACACACAGTCACCACATGTTGACCTCAGTAGCCACATATTATTTGTAATAGAGTCTCAGCTGAATATTTCCTTCCTTCCTTCCTTCCTTCCTTCCTTCCTTCCTTCCTTCCTTCCTTCCTTCCTTCCTTCCTCCCTTCCTTGCCTGCCTTTTTCTTTTGCGCCAAGGTCTCATTCTGTAGCCCAGGATGGTTTGAAACTCATTATGAGCCCAGGATAGCATCCAAATCCCAACAATTCTCTTCCTAAATTCAGGGATTAGAGTCATAAGTCACCTTGCTAAAATACCTCTTGGCTCTGAAACTGTGAAACAAGAAAAGACATTGAAGTGCTAGCAGCCAGAGGAGGAGAATGAGAGGCAAATTGAAACTGTGAGGTGCTTAAAATAGGGGGCATGATGGCACATCTTTATTCATGGAGTTTTATCCATGAGTTCCAGTAGCCACATTCCTGAACTGGGAAGCCTCACTCTTAGTGGCTGACCCTAGGTCTGCATTTTGTAACTGCACCACTCTGGGTTCTTCTTGGGGTGCCCGTTCTCACCATGATCTTATGTCAGTGAGTGTCTCCTTTTATGCCAGGCTTCCAGAATGTCCTTTTTTGTGTGTGTGTGTGTGTGTGTGTGTGTGTGTGTGTGTGTGTATGCTGAGGTCAGAGGAGAGGACAGGAATCAGTTCTTCTGCCCACCACATGGGGCCTGGGGATCAAACTCATGTTGTCAGGATTGATGGTAGACAACCTTTATCCACCGAGCCCTCTCACCAGCCCCAGAATCCCTGTTTTAAAGAAAGTTGTGTGGGCTGAAGAGATGGCTCAGAGGTTAAGAGCACTGTATGTTCTTGGAGAGGACCCAGGTTTGATTCCTAGCACTCACATGGTGGCTAACAATGATCAATAGCTCCAGGTCCAGGGGATCTGATGCCCTCTTCTGAGTTCTGTGGGTATTTCATGACATGGGTGCATCTATCTACATGCAGGCAATTCACTAGTACACATAAAATTGTTTTAATTATATATATATAAAAATTAATTAATGTAGGCTGTGGATCAAAGCCTACATTAGGCCAGTGCAGCCCCTGGAAGCGCAGGCTACAGTTGGGTTGAGGATGCAGAAGACTCTAAGCTCATTTGAATTCTTAGCCCAGAGTCCTTTGCAGTTCCCATCTTCTGAAAGTGAGATGCTTCCAAGCCATGATCTGAAGTGCCCCACGCTCTGTTTTCCTGTCATCGTAGTTATAGTTTGCTCTTCAACTCTATTATGCTGGGATCTCTTCATACAGGGTATGAATGAAATAAACAAAGCTCCACTGTCTCAGGTCAAAGGAAACTGGAGTAAGTTTCAAGTTTGCATATGAAAACTGAAGTAGAGAAGTTGAAACCTTCAGCTTGAAACCTGCAGGTTTGCTTTGCCCCAGTTATTTGGATTCGATTTTAGTTGCCTACACTATATAGCCTGCAAGATCCGCTTCATTTTGCACTTGGATAATTTTGCCATTTTATGTTCACTGAGTTCAGAGGAAAGAGGACAAAGCTAGGAGGAGGAGTCAGGCACCAGGCTGTGATGGTCAAGGCGTGTTGCAGAGAACCATGAGGACAGATACCTAAGTGGTCAGAGCAAAGACTGGAGGGAAGAAGCATTTACCCTGACCTTCTAGTCCCCGTCACCACAGTCACTGCTATTGGCCCAACCGCTCCTGGTGTGAGTGTGTGTGTGTGTGCGTGCGCGCGCGTGCGTGCGTGCGTGTGTGTGTGTGTGTGTGAAGTTGAGTGGTGGTGTGAGAATCCCAGCAGTGCCAGGTGGATCTTTGCCCGTGTTCCCAGCACCACAACAGCTGCGGCTTCCTCTGCCTGCAGTGGGAGGGACAAGAGGGAGAGGAGAGGTGAGTCGGGATTGGTGCCTACCCTTCAGAGCCAGCCCCTCTCTCTCTCTTCCTGAGTTCCACACAGCCTCTGGATTCCAGTGGAAAGCCCATGAGAGTGTTCCCTCTAAGCAGGAGCTGATCCAAGTTCTGTTAGCCTAATGTTGTCAGCCTTGGATAAACAGGGTGATGGGCTCATTTCTGTGTTTGAGGAAAGTGAAGCGCGCTGTAAACTGGGGTCAGCTGTGGGACTCAAGTCAGGTCTCTGAATGCCCGTGGCCTTTCCTGGGACAGCTGTGGGTTTGGAGGAGGCAGCCCTGA